GAGGAGAAGAATGGGCCCTCAGGTCAGGACATCCTTAGGATTTATGGGGCCCTATGTAGTACTATCAAACTGGCGCCTCAATATCCGACAGCAGCCTGTGAGGGCGGGATGATGTTTAGAGATGCAATTTTACAAACACACAATTGTTTGAAAGCAAATGTTAAACTAAGGTCCTGTAGACCAGGGGTGGGCAATAATTTTTGGCAGAGGGCCACTCCAAGATTTTGGAAATTGGTCAAGGGCTGCACTTTTCTGTGGAGAGGGTGCAGGGTCTGGGATGGAGGTTGGGCACAGAAGGGCTTACGTGGTAAGGGACTGGGGTGCAGGAGACTGTGAGATCTAAGAAGAAGTTTGGGCAAAGGTAGGGAGTTGTAACATGGGTCAGCGGATTGGGGTGTAGGGTCAGGGAGGGAGCATGGACGCAGGATAGGATTCTGGCCTGAGAGAGGGGCACTAGGAGGTGTAAAGTCTGGGAGGGAGCTGTGACCTGAGCAAAGGGGAAAAGGGGGTGCAGACTACAGAGGGTGTGGGTGGTGACTTGTGGCAGGGGGAATGGGGTGCAGGGTCTGGGAGGGAGTGTGGGTGCAAGAGAGGATTTTGGCCTTGTGGATAGGTGTAGGAGGGGGAACAGAGTCTGAGAAGGAGTTGTGGCAAGGGGCAGGCAGGGGCAGAGGGTTTGGATGGTGACCTGGGGAAGGGAGTTGAGGGGCAGGGGTGCCAGTGGCAGGCTCTGGCTAGGAAGTGCTTACCTAAGCCTGCAGCCCCCCAAGGCAGGCTGGGCTCCCTGTCTGCTGCAGCACCATATCACTTAAAACTGCAGACTGCTCCTGCCACCTGGCTCTCCGCTCCTGAAGGGGAAGAGACTTGCACTGCTCCCATCCTCCAGACCAATCTCTTAGCTCCGATTGGCTGATTGTTTCTGGCCACTAGGAGCTGAAGGATTGGTCTCAGGGTGGGGAGATCATATGAAGCCACCCCCCCACCCCCCACTCCAGAGCTGAAATCCTGAGGGACTGAACTTTAAACCATGCAGCTATATGCTTGAGGGTCCTGGCAGGGTGGTCTGTGGGTCGGATCTGGTGGCATGGTGGGGTGGATCTGGTCCCCAGCCCACATTTTGCCCAACCCTTCCATAGACTAACACAATAAATTCAAAAACTGACAGTATACACTTGAGATTGGCAAATGCCTGTTAACAAGGCCCAATCCCTGAGCTCCCGTCCTCCCTTTTCTTGCCCCTCACAGGTTCTCCACCACTTGCTGTCTTTACATCATGATTGTATATCTTTCTAGAAGAGGTGCCACAGCTCAAGCAGAAGTTATGGATTTGATCCAGACATGATTGGGTGTTGTGTTATGCAGATGTCAGATTAGATGACCATAATGGTCTTTTCTAGCCATAAAAATCCAATTATCTTCAGAATCTTGCAATAATAGGATCTTTCTATAGCAGTGGTGGGCAACCTGCAGCCCTTATGCAGTCCACTGGGGCTCTACCTGCAGCCCAGTTTCCCTGTCTGCCCTCCTCCCCCATGGGCCTTTCGTGCACTGGAGCACCAAAAACCCTCACTTCTTACTCTCACTCCCTCCCAGCACTTCTGGAGCACCATGAATCACCGGATTCATGCTCTATCCCCATTTGACAAATATTCACCAAATGTACAATAATAGTACAGTTCTGAGAATTCAAGCTCCACTGAAGAAGAGGAATAAACAAGGAATAATTAAGAGGCCAGACAATTCAGACTGGATTTGTGACATCTGCAGAATTCCCCGCATAAAAAAAGATGGTAAAGAATGCAAGACATATCAGATAAGACTATTGGGAAGAGAGCCAGCACTGCTGAGGGGAGCAGAGGAGAGCTGCAATACTAAGAATTTGGAATAATTTATTTAGTTTAATTTTTATAAAGTGTGAAGCTAAAGAGTATTTTGGGATCCTGTAGGTGAAAAACATGTTTTAGAAACACACTTGGGTCTTTCCAGACAGGCAAATGAATTCAGGTGTTGGGTGATGTCAAGGGGTACGCCCCTGACAGGGGTTGCGGCCCCCTTCTACTGGCCCGTGTCTCAGTCCAGGCCCGTCTCTCAGGGCATATACAGTACCCAAAGTCCCAAAAGTCCCGGCCTCTCTCTCAGGGCATACATGGTACTACCAGAACTAGCCCCAAGTCCAGGCCCCTCTATCAGGGTATATACGGTCTCTGCGGCCTAGCTCCGGAAAAAGTCTCTCCTGGCCAGCGGGTTTGCCCCAGTTGTGGAAAGGGGTGGTAGGGGGACCCAGGCCCTCCCTCTCCACTGGGTCCCAGCCCAGGGCCCTGTAGGCAGGGGTTCTTGCTCCTGCCTGCTCGGTGGGGAATCCAGCCAATGCAAACCCCACTTGGTGTGTAAGTCCTTGCCCTGGGCTGCTTCCTACCACCCTGGCTTCAGCTGCCGCAGGAACACCGGGGCTGCAGCCTGGGCCCTTCTACTCTCAGGCTGCCTCCCCTCTTTCCGTGCTCCCTCAGTCTTTATATACTGGCTCTGCTGGGAGCATGCCCAGCAGGGCCGGAAGGGCGGGGCCTGCTCAGCCAGCTGGGCCTAGGCTACTCCCAGCCCCGCAGTGCGGGGCCTGCTCGCCCCGTCACAGGTGACTTGCATGTGAAATGGTTGAGCAGATGCCCTAGGTAAAGACAAGTTGTCTTAAACCACATTATGCAAGTCTCCGCAGTCAGAAAACAAGAGACTGTTACATCACGAACCCAGTTATTCATACCAATGCTTCCTTTCCTATTCCCCTGGAGACAAGCTTTACATCAGGATCAGACTGTGCCACTTTGACTACATAAGAATAACAGATTGAGTTACATTTTGTGTCTTCATATTTTTAGCAAAATTGATTGTGTGTGTTTGGAGTAAGAAGCTGTGTGGAGCTGCCATTGAAAAGGGAAGGGCTCTCACCTTCCTACTGAAGATTGAGCCAAGTAATTCTCATTTACACTTTTTACCTCATGAAAAAATCCGTTGTGGAGTAGAGGATAGATTACTTAAACCCTTACTTAAGGAGTTAGTCCCAGAAGAGGAAGCTTCAGAGGGATAGTTGAGTTAGTCTGTAATTGGAAAAACTTAAAAAACAACTAAGGGTTCGTCTAGACCAGTGGTCCCCAACGCGGTGCCCGCGGGCGCCATGGCGCCCGCCGACAACCCGGGCTGGCCCCGCCCCCCGGCGCGCGGCGCACTGGAGGCGCCGGTGTATAGGCAAAAAGTGAAACCGCTCCGTTTTTGTGACGGTCACAGTTTCTGTCAAACAAACATGACATTCGGTATAACTGCTCAGGAATTGCTACCTTTGCTGGCTGGTTGCAAATTCAGAGGGACTGTGTTTTTTGGTAGAAAAATCTCTCAATTTGCTACCTCCT